GTGCAGCCTCAGCTTGGGCCGACGCCCTCAGCTGCTTCGCCATCACCTGACAAAAAAGGTTCCCCTTTTGGGTTTGAAGGGGCTTATCAGAACTTGTACAAGGGTTTAGGGTTTAGGGTGTAGGGTTTAGGGTTTAGGGTTTCCCCAAACCCTACATCCCCTAAATCTCCTAAATCCCCTTCAGCCCTACATCCCCTACATCTCCTAGACCCTAAAACCCCCTAAACCCCCTAAACCCCCTAAACCCCCTAAACCCCCTAAACCCCCTAAACCCCCTAAACCCCCTAAACCCTAAACCCTAAACCCTAAACCCTAAACCCTACCAGAACAAGCAGCCTTCAAGTTCAGCAGCAATTCCATGAGGGTGGACTGGCCCTGGCAGTGAAGGTTTAGGGTTTAGGGTTTAGGGTTTAGGGTTTAGGGTTCAGGGTTCAGGGCTTAGGGCTTGCAGGGCTTGCGGTTACGACACCGGGCCAAAGTGCAGCTTTTGTTTTGTGGGTGCGGCAATTCTGGAACACTTGTGGGGCACTAGGTCCCTTTCCATTGCTGGAGCGACGTCAGCTGAGTGTCTCACCCTAAGCCCTAAACCCTAAACCGTAAAACAAATGGTGAGATCCCAGCTGGGGTCCTTCGCCTGCCAACATGACAGACCCTAAACCCTAAGCCTCTTGAGTTTCCCTTCTACCCCTCTGTACTACCCCCCCTTGGTTCCCAACCTTGACTAGGCTCAAATCTCCCTGAATAGCCTTAATTATTCGGGGAAACTAGGGGAGGAGGTAGTTTCGATGGGGGTAGTTATGGAACCCATGATAACCCCCTAACCAAGGCACAGAGGGCTTCACCTTCGAATGCGCACTTAGGGTGCCTCTGTAAGCGGCTGCTGCCCTTCTTTGTTTTGAAGGTATCTACGGCAGAACTATGAACGGCAAAGCCTATATAAACCTAAACCCTAAGCCTCCCTACACCCTGAAGCCATAGGTCCTAAAACCGCAGAAAGCCAAAAAGACTAAAAGCAAAAAACAAAACACACCAAAGCCCATAAACCCCCAAACTCCAGACAACAAAATCCCGAGAACTCCAAATCAAAACGCTCGCAACAAACCGACAAGCCTACCCCCCCCCCCCCCCACCCAAAAGCTAAAACCAACCTCAAAGCAATCACCTCAACCACCCCCCGCCCCCCACTGGGGCTGTTTAAGGTTTAGGGTGTTCATGGGTGGTGGCTGTTTTGGTCGGGCACGTGGCTACGCAGTAGACCCTCAGCCTGAAACCCCCCCTAAGCTCTCAAATTAAAAAGCCAAGGAAAACCTGGATTCAAAAGCCCGTAAGCCCTTCAACGTGCATCACCACTAAACCTAAATCCTAGACCTTAAACCCTAAACCCCAAACCCTAAACCCCAAACCCCAAACCCTAACCCTAAACCCCAAACACTAAACCCTAAACCCTAAACCCCAAACCCTAAACCCCAAACCCTAAACCCTAAACGTGGCATCCTGCACCGCCGATGGGCTTGCGGAAGGATCCTGCTGAGAGCCAGCTACTATAGGGGCCTGAATAATTAGGAATAGGGTTTAGGGTTTAGGGTTTAGGGTTTAGGGTTTAGGGTTTAGGGTTTAGGGCTTAGGGCTTAGGGTTTAGGGTTTCGGGTTTAGGGATTACAAGGGGCCCTGAGGGAATACTATGTGAGGGCTGCAGACAAGGAGCATCTTGGGTTTAGACTAGGAAAACCCTAGGACCAAAACCCTTTTTGTAGGGTTTAGGTTCCCTTCAGGGGACCTAAATCCTACAAAAAGAGTTTTGGGCTTCGGGTTTTCCTAGTCTAGGGCGTTTTTTTCGGATTTAGGGCCTTTAGGGCTTTTAGGGTTCAGGGTTCAGGGCGCAGGCCTCTGATGCGGCTTGCAGGGCTCATAGGGTCTTGGGTTTAGGGTTTAGGGTTTGGGGGTTGGGGTTTAGGGCATGGGGGGCTGCTGAGGCTTGTAGGGATTGGAGTATTTTGGCTCATGTAGGGCAAGCCGCAGGGCATAGGTGTAAGGGTATAGAAAGGGCTGAAAGAGGTTTGTTGAGAGCCTCGGGCGTTAAGGGGTTTTGAGGTGGGTTTAGGGTTTAGGGTTTAGGGTTTAGGAGGCGGGCGGGGCCATGTGGCAACTGGCACGAGGGTTTTCAGAGAAGCCATTGGCCCTCAGGGCGTAGGTTTTCTTTCTCTTAGGTTCTTAGGGTCAGGAGTGCAGGGTTTCTGGTTTCGGGTTTAGGGTTTAGGGTTTCGGGTTTCGGGTTTAGGGCTTAGGGCTCAGGGTGTTGGGTTGTGGGTTTAGGGCTGGGCCTTATGGAGCTTGCAGGGTTAGGAGGGTTGGGAGCTTAGAGGTTTAGGGTTTAGGGTTTAGGGTAACACTTGAGGGTTTAGGGTAGGTCTCTCGGTACGCACCCCTAAGTTTGATCGGAAAGCAAGGCTGGTTGATATCTTGAAAACCACAAGAGGACTCCACGTAGGGTTTAGGGTTTAGGGTTTAGGGTTTAGGGTTTAGGGTTCAGGGTTTAGGGCTTAGGGTATTAGGACTCCCTGTACCTTCCCTAGTCCTTATGTCTCCCCTAAGTCTGCTTAGTATGGACTCCTCTCACATGGGGTCCCCTTCAGAAGCTCCCTGAACTAGACCAGCAGTAACCTAGGAATAAAGAAGGTCATGGCCTTTTTGTTTTAAGGAGCTTGTAAGGGAACCTGAACCCTACAGAAACGGAAGAAGGGCCTACTGTGGGTCTAGTTGCTGAAAGGAACCCGCACGGTTTCCATTCCCGCGCAAATCCATCGAGTGATCGAGGTCAGCTGCTCGGGTAAGAGGGAGCCATGTCTTATCGAGCCAAAGCTGCTCAGGTAAGAGGGAGCTCTCTGTACGTAGCGAGCCTCAAAGAGATTAAAAAGGGAGCACCCTGCAGCACCCCGTGGATTCCGCGAATCCAAGAGCTTCAAGACCAAGGATTTCTGGCTGATAGACAAGATACTCCCATAATAATAATGATAATGACAATTATACCTAAAATAATGATACTAATAATTATAACGATAATAATAAGGAATTTAATATGCAACAAAATGGAAGAGGGACCTTGTAGCACCTGGCTTTACTTCCACCCCGCTGACAGTGCAGAAAGCGAAGTCTGTCTGAGACGAAGCTCATGCATGCTGGACCAGTCTCGGGTCTGTTTTGCACTTTTTTTACCTTAAAGGGGTTTACAAGGAAGCCCAAAGGCCCCAAAAAGGGAATGAGGGTAATACTGGGCATCCTAGTTGGAAGCTCCCTTGCGACTCAGCAAGCCCACTTGGTATCCCCTAGAACCCCCCACCCCCTAACTCTTTAGGGTTTAGGGTTTAGGGTTTAGGGTTAGGGTTAAGGAAAAACCCTACTTCCTTCAACTGGGCAACCTTTATATACATATATATATATATAGGTCTGGGTTCAGGGTTTAGGGTTCGGGGTTTCAGGGTTTGGGGTTTAGGGTTACCCTTCGTGTACCTTGTAAAACGCAAAAAAACTTTGAAACAAAGGCAAAGGACCATATTCAGGGGCCATGTCACAACCCCAAGACAGAAGATTGGGAAAACAAACCCTATACGCACACTCACAAAACATGTAGACCCTACCTCAGGGCCGGGTATGGGTTCGAGATGCAGAGCAATCAGGAATGCATAAAGGCAAATGCGGGTCCACGAGAACAAGGGTTCCGGGTGTAGGGTTTGGGGTTTAAGGGTTTGGTTCAGGGGTGGGAACATCAAGCATGCTGAAATGAAAAGGAATCTGGAATTTTCACGGAAGTTGTGGAAGGTCACGTACGAGCTGTTCAAATTTGAGCGGAAATTGCGGGACTTACCTTGTCCACATGATCAACTCCCGGGAATCACGCAATTGCGAGTTTCAACACAGCTGACTGCTACAGAGACGCGTACTGCTGCTTCGAAATTACAAAGCAGCTATGCCGCTACAGAACTGATGAATCAATAGCAACTCAATCTCTGATTTGTTTTAATGTCCGAAATATCCGATATTGAGCTCTTAAACTGCTTCCGTCATTTATGAGTTCCAAACGGGTTCCAACGTGAAGCTCTTGGATTCACTCTGCCCTGTTGGCTTTATTGGAAAACTGTCGCCTTTGGCGAGAAAGAGCATGATAGCCCGGGCAGCAATCCTGAAAACACAAGGCTTCGCTCCATATCTAAGACTGTCGAGTTTGGCGAGAAAGGAGAGCATGATAGCCCTGTCAGCAATCCTGGCGTTACAAGGCTTCGCTCCATATCTAAGACTGTCGAGTTTGGCGAGAAAGGAGAGCATGATAGCCCGGTCAGCAATCCTGACATTACAAAGCTTCGCTCCATATCTACGAATCTAGCGCAGATGACGCTGCTGCCGCAAAATGCTAGTTTGGCCCTGAAAGTTGACCCCCCTGTAAAGATTCCTAAATCTGATCCCCTTAAAGCCAACAAGGAAAAACCTAGACCATCCCATGGGCCTACCCAGAATGTTACTGTACAACACTTTGGTAGCAAATGATGTGATTTTCCAGGGACCCCTCCGACATCCAAGACGATGGCTCTAGGCCGACGCTTGCTGCCAGGTTGGTGGATTTCCCCGTGGCCGCCAGGTTGGATTTCCCCTTGGCTGCTGACTTCCTGCCTTGGATGTCTTAGTAGCCCAGTAACCATGTTATGACAAGGGCACCCTTTTTTATGGTTGGCGACTTTATAAGGGAACCCAGAACAAAAAAAAAGTAAAGGGTACCACCGGGCTAGCAAGCTGCCTTGGATGTGGCCGGGCGCTGGCTCAGGATCGCTCCGCGGGATGTGCGGGAGCGCCTGGCTTGCCTTTCGGAGCAAAGGGGCTGCTTGGTCCCACACAACCTTGGTCGCCCAGCACCTACTCGTTTTAAACAAGGGTACCCTTTTTGGGACTAGTTGGTGACTGTAATCAGGGAACCAAGAAACAACAAAAATAGGCAAAAGGGCACTTCCGTGCTAGCAAGCAACCGACAATTGCTCACCATCGACATGTGTTAGCACCCATCCTGGCTGGACTGCTGATCTGTGGCCTGCACCAATGTTCGTGACCGTGTAGGGATGGGTGTGGGAGATCCGGAAACCTAACGGTCTCGACGTGAATTCCAGAACCTCAGGTTCTCCATTCGGCCGGGTGAACGTCAAATACGCCACCGGTAGGACAGGGTCTGCGCTCAAAGCCACTTCTGTCGGAGAGCTTCGCGATTCGACTTCGTCACCACTCAAAACCGGCTCTGTCCGGGTGCTTTCTGATTCGAGTTCTTCACGCAATACCGCCACCTCTGTGACCTTGTCGTCGTGCGGCTTCTCGACCGGGGCAGCCGCACAGCAAAAACCTGTCACTACAAAGTGCATCTGGCCTACGGAGCTATCTTGAGTCCTGAGCCAAAAGAACTCTGAGGTGCCAGAAGTTGCACAGTACAACAATAAGCTAGCGTCATTTATATAATACCATTTCTGAGAACGGTCTAGGCATCCCAAGCCGAAAGCCCCTAAACCCTAAACCCTAAACCCTAAACCCTAAACCCTAAACCCTAAACCCTAAACCCCAAACCCTAAACCCTAAACTTCTAAACCCTGCCTCGGCACCAGGAGGATGCCTCAGCCGGCACGGTGCCGTAGTTTTCGTTAAGAACTTCGAATGTAGGCGTCTGCTTACACCCGTGTACTTGGAGGTTTAGGGTTTAGGGTTTAGAGTTTGGAGTTTAGGGTTTAGGGTTTAGAGTTTAGGGTTTAGGGCTAATTGGCGGTTCATGGGTACTTGTAACGACAACTACTGAACCCTCAAGACCCTAATTAGCGCCTGACACCTAAAACCCAACACCGACGCAACCCAACGCCCAGGTGGCAGGGCCCTAACTCCCTAAATCCCTAAACTCGAAGCCTCAAACCCACCACATCGGCGCAGATCTTAACGGCCATAAAGCATGGGTTCCTGCATATACCACCTTCCTAGGGTTTAGGGTATAGGGTGTAGGCCCTCCCCCCCATACTCAAGGCTATTTAGGGATAGTTAAGCCTGATGAAGGTTGTTTAAGGGGGGAACCTACGGGGGTAGTTTCGAGGGGGGTAGTAGGGAAACGAATGAATCAAAAATCAAACACACGGAGCCGCAGAACCTACACAATCCAACGTCTTGGAGCTTGGAGGATAAAAGGTCAACAGCTTTTGAGGGTTGAGGGTTGAGGTTTGCATAGGATTTACGGCTAATGCAGCGTTTAGGGTTGAGGGTTGACGAGTAGAAACACTACACCCTAAACCCTAAACCCTAAACCCTGAACCCTGGAGTTTCAGCTCCGGGCTTCGGAGTCTTCTGCTTTGTCCCGAAGCCTTCGTCAAGGCGGCAAAGGTTTTCACAACATGGCGTACCCCAGAGCAACATGTAGGGTTTAGGGTTTGAGGGGTGAGGGTTTAGGGGCTGTAGGGTTCAGGACTTAGGTTCAGGTTTAGGGGATTATCGGCTAACCCAAAAAAACAACCTCCAACCTCAACCAGAAAACCCTGAACCGTTTAAGTGTTGGGAGGGTCTAGGGTGGAGGGTTCAGGGCTTGCTGGCGCGTTTGAGGGAGCAGGGGCAGAGTGCAAGGGGATACGGGACCTACGGACTGCGATTACAGGAGGCTGTTTGAGGGTTTAGGGTTTAGGGTTTGGAGATTAGGGAGAGTAGGGATAGGGTTTTTAGGTTTGGGATTTCAAGTTGGGGGCTTTGGAATTATGATTTCGGTTATGAGGGTTCCTTGGAGGCACATGAGCAGTTCTAAAAACCGACGAACAGGGGTCTATGTACCCTAATAAAGCTTTAGGAAAGGGAATCAGGGCCTACTCTGGGTCCCAGTAGCCCTAAACCCTAAACCCTAAACCCGAAAGACCCATGAAACCCCACGAGCCAAGTGACTAGTTTCATTAGGTTTCTCAGGGTGGGCGCCCTGGGCTTTAGACCCAAACGTATCCTAGGTCCTTTGTATAAAAAGGGTACCCTTTTTGGTTTTGAGATCTGCGATTTTGGGTTGCCCTCCGAAAACGAGCCTTTAGGCATGAGGGTTTACATATGGTTTTCGGGCTTAGGGTTTAGGGTTTAGGGTTTAGGGTTTAGGGTTTAGGGTTGAGGGCTTAAGCCCAAAGCCCCCGCAACTCCGAAGCTTTACACCCGCAACCCAAAGCTAGGGTACCTTACAAAAATTGCCTCAGCCAGGCATGCTCAGCCTGCTTGTCTAAGGATAAGCTTCCTCAAAGCCTTAATAAAGCCCGAAAAACCCAACGCCTCTGTCAAACAAAGCCTCTCGAGAAACCCAGGAATCTTAGGGTAGTTGCATGGTCCCTTATTAGGATTGGCCCTTAAAAGGAGACCCCTGATAGACCCCTTATGTACCCTAAACCCTAAACCCCAAATTCACTAGGGAACCTAGCCCAGTTTGGCTCCAAGACCCCGAGCCCTACCCCCCCCCCCCCCAAAAAAAAAAAAACAAACAAATAAAAGAGAAACCTACCCTAAAGCCCTAAACCCCAAGCCCCAACAGCCGAAGGCCAAAAAAGGGCTTCGAAGAAAACGGAGGAATGAGGGCTCAAGGCCCAACACCCTAAACCCCAACCCCTAAACCCTAAACCCCAAAACCCTAAACCCCCAAACCCTAAACCCCCAAAACCCTAAACCCCAAGCCCTACACCCTAAACCCTAAACCCTGAACCTCAAAAATCTGAGTGCACAGGCGCAGGTGCATCAGGCGGGGCCTCAGGAGTAGGTCCGCAGGTGAGGGAATGGTTTTTAGGGCTTAGGGTTTAGGGTTTCGGGTATGTTTAGGGTTTGGGGGTTTGGGGGTTTGGGGTTTAGGGTGAAGGGTTGCGGCTTCAGGGTTGTTACGGCTCAGGGTTGTGGCGGTTGTGGTTTACTAGGATGGCCCTTAAAACCCTCTGAAACATTTTCCTGAATATGATCCTCTTAAACCCTATGAGGGATAATATACACAGTATCCTAAGGGCCCTAAACCCTAAACCCTAAACCCTAAACCCTAAACCCTAAACCCTAAACCCTCCTACCTGGTTTACAGGCTCAGGCTTCAAGAGGGGAGGGTTTTGGCTTGGAAGTGCCCGGCTGCACCATGCGTTTTAATCCACAATGTCTTGGCCTTGAAGGGTGTAGAAAAACGGCCGTTATGGGATGCTGGGAACACCCTAAACCTAAACACTAAACCCCGAACCCTAAGCCATTTGCAATTAAGTTGCAAGCCCTTCGGCGTGATTTCATAAAATATCCTCTTAGGCCCTCATACCACGGTTCTGGGGGGGGGGGGGGGGGGGGGGCTAGAATAGCCCCTAGACTGAACGGTCACTTGTCCTAGCATTCAAAACTTGCTTGCCAGAAAAAAGAAGATGACTTGACTGCTGCCTCCAATGTTTGTACGAACTTTGTTGGAAAAAGAGTTGCTTCTTTTGAGCCCTCAAACCGATGTCACTGTCTTGCATGTGTGCACTTCGAGTGTTGTCTTGAGTCAACACACATGATTTGCTTAACAAATATCTTGCATCAACTGCATGTTTTCCACAGTTTCAAGGATGCTCCCCTTGCGGGGTTGACTGTTGCCAGGCAGCTAAGCTCAAAAATAGTTACTTGCAGTCCCATAAAGGTTCCTGCAGGACCCTCGATACCCTGAACTAGCCATTAATTAGACTCCAACCCAAGGGAGGTTGGGTTCCCCTACTTCAGATTTCATGCTGAGAGCGTGCAGACTTGTGGGTGCACGTAGGTTCTGCGCGGGTTTAAGGCCTTGAAGGCGCTGAAATCTTTACGGCTTCTTGGGGTTTAGGGGTATGAGGGCTTAGGGTTTATAAACCCTAAACCCTAAACCCTTAACTCTAAACCCTAAACCCTAAACCCTAATTAGAGCAAGTGCCACTGCTCACGGCTTGGATCCAGGCATTTGTCCGGGCTGCTTGAGCAACTCGCAAAACCGCGTGTTGCCTCATCGGCTTAGTTGCTGAGTTCATCAGCCCCACAAAGTGTACACTTTCAGCTCTATACTTAATCCCTGTTCCCCTAGGAAGAAAAAAGGATCCTCTTTGTTCATATATAAGAAAGCCCATAACCCAAAAAGCAAGAAGGATCCCTGACACTGATCTAGTATAGGGGATGATCGTATCCCAAAAAGTGTACAGTGTCCTCACTCAGCTGCTAGGTCGGAACCCGATTGGGTGCCTTGAAGCCTACTTGAGGCTTGGGAGGTTGAAGTAGGATCTACTTGAAGGTTCATGGTACTTACTAACCAATTATAACTGTACTTATAAACCCTACTTATAATACCCCTAAAGGGCCTTATAGGCGTTATCCCAACTATAAGTAGGGTTATAAGCCCAGTTCTAATTGGTTAGTAAGTACCATGAACCTTCAAGTAGGTGTTTTTCAACACCGACGTGGGGCCATGCATATACGTCCCAAATCCTAAACCCTGCACCCTAAACCAGTACCCTAAACCTTTGTTCTACGCTTTTTCCAAGGGAGAACACCCTCGAAGGAAATAAAGTTGAGTCCTGTGGACTGGATACCTATCTGAGCAGAACAGGATAAAACCTGACTCGCAAACCAAACAAATCCCACGGAATCCTGCACCGGGACCCCAAACCCTAACCCTAAACCGTAAACTCTCAACCCTAAACCCTAAACCTTACACCCTTGGGCCTATACCCTGAGGGGAGGTTCCATAAAGACACAGCCCTTCCATGCCCTATGCTCAGGTCAATAGCGCCCAAGATTAAGGTCCTCTTCAAGTACTCATGATGGGCATCGGCTCTAAGCCGGGTTTACCCCAAAACCCTAAACCCTAAACCCTAAACCCTAAACCCTAAACCCTCAACCCCCCAAACCCTAAACCTCAGAACTTTTCGCAAACGCACTCCTGTCTCAATCTCTGGGGCATCGGCAACTGCCCTCGGCTAGGCAGGCCAGACCGTCCTGTAAGGAATAAAACACCTCTGAGCTGATGAAGCTGGTGATTCACGGGGAGCCGGCCTGGGAAACCCCTGAAACCCTAAACCCCTGAAACCCGAAACCCCTGAAACCCTAAACCCCAAACCCTAAACCCTCAACACCAAACCCCAAAACCCTTGGAGTTCGGGGCAGCGGCTTTGGCCGACAAGAGCCTCAACTCTACCTCCCGAGTAGTAGAGTCTGCACCTTCGAAAGCAGAGAGCGCGCTCTTGGTCTTTGGGCTTGGTTTGGGGATTACGGTTTAGAGTTGAGGATTTGGGGTTGATTTAGGGGTTGTTTAGGGGGTTCGGGGTTTGGTGGAACTAAACCCCAAACCCTAAATGCTATGGTCTCGCTCCTTGCCGAGGGCCGTGACGTAGTCGGGCGAAATGCGGTT